GCCAGCTGCGTCCGCATGACCGCCAGCAGTCAGACCCTCAGCCCACGCCCGCAGCCGCCAACCAGTGCCCGTGTGCGCAGCGCCTGGCAGATTGCCGGCCGAGCCAGCCCGACTGCTCGGTTTAGCCGACCGGAAGTTCGGTCCAGACCGGTTCAGACCGGCTGGACCGGTTCAGTCAGTTATTTTAAGTTTCAGTCCCGGTTTTCAGTTTCAGTGTTATTTTCAGTTAAATTTCTGGGTCAAGTTCAGTTCAGTTAATTAATGTCAGTTCAGTTTTGTACTTAGCCGGTTTTAGTTATACCGAATAAGTTCGAATATCATGTCAGGTTTAGTAGAGCATCTTAACATAATTAATCAGTTAAATTATCAGTCTGAGCATAGTCAATAGTAATTGTTTATATTATTTTCAGTTTGATCAGGCATCAGCACTGCCATTCAGTTTCAGTTTCAGCAGTTCAGGTGGGGACTCAGACTAAGTACTACATTGATTATAATTACGGTACCATGTTTGAGGTATGTATTTCAGTTGAGGTATCCGCTCGGAATGGTCGCCGGTCCATTCTGGGTTCTAGTGGCCTAATCTAACCACTAGAGTGTGCACATGGTCCGGTATTAGTTTGTGCCGGGAGATTGCGGTATTAGTTTGTGCCGACAGATTTCAGTTATCAGTTACGTGACTTATGTCGCGAGATCAGACCGGTATCAGATATCAGTTTCAGTTTCAGTTGAGTTATGTATGCTTAGTTCATGATATTGTTATTATTTACGATGTTTACATTAGTATGAGTTTTTGCTGAGATCAGACCGGTATCAGATTTCAGTTTTAGTGCTCACGCCCCACTTTTCATGTTTTTCAGGTCGCAGGGTCGGAGACGAGGAGTGAGCGGGCGGGCTGTTCAGGACTTTTATGATTATATGTATATATATGTTTTGCCACATTTGACTTCCGCTAAAACTTTCAGTACTTGTTATCAGTTTTTGTTCCGACATTAGTCGGATAAGATGTTAAAACTGTTTTATTTATCAGTTTAAAAATTTTAACGGTTTTCAGAAAAATTAAGTTTTCACGGTAGCATCTCGAGTCAGTTTTCGCAAAATAAGTATTTTAATTATTTATTCAGAAAATTGCAAAAAATAGCGTACTCTGATAGTATTAAAATTCGGGGTGTTAAAATTGGTATCAGAGCACGTTTCTGCGTCTCTGAAAAGTTTTCAGTCAGTTTTTCAGAAAAACCTGAACCGTCACGCTCACGCCTCGCCGACTCCAGGTAAGTGCTGATTCAGTTTTCAGTTATAAACATATTACTTTGTCTATGCTCAGAAATCAGTAATCAGACTTAGTTAAGATGCTCAATTCAGATTCAGACTTTAGAGTTCAGATATAACTCTAGAATTCAGTACATTCAGACCTGACTTTAGAAATCAGTATACTCAGACATGACTCTAGACTTTAGTATCTTTCGATATGACTCTAGAGTTCCTCAGGTTTCACGATAGTAATTATCGGCCATTTTTGGCTACTCGTCAAGAGATTTGTGTGCCTCAGTAATCAGTCAGAATATCATTATGTATTCAATAATTTTGAACTTTCTCAATGTTCAGATGCCGCCACGTAGGGAACCCGATCATCCAGTTCCTACTCAGGCTACAGTGGTCGCGCAGTTCCGCGACTATCATGCCGAGAAGTTCTCAGGGCAGGGAGATCCTCGCATAGTTGACGAGTGGATTCAGGGCTTGGAGTTTATCTTAGAGGTTATGGAGTGCCCTGAGAGATATCGCGTCATTTGCGCTTAGCTTCAGCTCACCGGTGATGCTAGGCTCTGGTGGAACGCTTACTGGAGCATGCGTCCTGGCGAAAAGGCGGGTTGTACGTGGGAGATGTGCAAGGAATTAATCTGCGAGAAGTACTACCCCACATACTACCGAGCCGAGATGGAGCGTCAGTTTTTATCGCTCCAGCAGGGTACTCGTACTGTTGACGAGTACGAGAGGGAATTTACGAGACTTGCAGCTTTTGTTCCTGATTTGGTCCGCACGGAGGCCCAGCGAGCGCAGCGTTTCATTGACGGGCTTTACCCAGCAGTCCGTCATAACATCGTAGGCCACGGGACACAGACGTACGCACGTGCAGTCTCCATTGCCTAGGAGGTGGATGCCAGCATTAGGAGGGAGGCCGTTCGTGAGCAGTTCCAGCCATCCGCCCCTGCCCAGTCGTCTTCAGTTCCATTGTTGCCAGCTCTACCATCTACCCAGCCGCCAAAGAACAACAAGAGGAAAGGGAAAGGTGCCCCGGCAGATAAGAGGACCCGACGGAGGCTACAGCAGATTCCCCAGTGCCCGACATGCGGACGACTTCATCGAGGCGAGTGTCGCTTTGGTCAGGATGTGTGCTACTATTGTCACGAGCCCGGACACTTTGCGAACCGTTGTCCGAAGAAGGCGCAGCAGCCTCCACAGCCTCAGCAGCCACTGCAGCAGCAGCAGCCCCGTCAGCAGGCACAGAGGCAGCCTCAGCAGCAGCAGCAGAGGGGCAGACAGCAGGCCCGAGTTTATGCCGTCGATCAGGCAGAGGCCGAACAGCAGCCAGGTACCATGTCCGGAATGGTTGTTCTTAATAATGTTCTTGTGTTTGCTTTATTCGATACTGGAGCGACACATACTTTCATTTCTCGACGATGTGTTGACGCCATCGAAGTTCGCGCCACTACCTCTATCGATCCTCTTGAGGTGAGTTTGGCCTCAGGAAGAAAGATAGTGACTTCAGCTAAAGCTTCAGATCTTAGCCTTTCCATCGGTGGCCGAGTATTGTCTACCGACGCGTTTGTTCTCGAGATGAGGGATTTCGACCTTATTCTCGGAATGGATTGGCTATCTTTATATCATGCAGATATCAGATGCCACGACCGGGAGATTACGCTTTATCTTCCAAAAGACGATTCGATTACTTTCTTCGGCTCCAGAAATCGTTCTTTGCCTCATGTTGTTTCAATGGCGAAAGCCACTAAGTTGCTACGACGAGGCAACTGCCAGAGTTATCTGGTGAGCCTTGTCGATGATTCTCAGAAAGCACGTTCACCTCACGATGTTCCAGTCGTTCGAGAGTTTGTGGAAGTATTCCCAGATGAGCTTCCAGGAGGACCGCCTAACCGACAGGTGGAGTTTTCAATCGATCTCATTCCAGGGGCCGGGCCAGTGTCCAAAGCCCCGTACCGTATGGTGCCTAAGGAGTTGCAGGAGCTTAAGGCGCAAATTCAGGAGTTATTACGACTCGGTTTCATCCGACCGAGCGTGTCACCTTGGCGAGCACCCGTTCTCTTTGTTAAGAAGAAGGACGGATCCATGCGCATGTGTATCGACTACCGGGATCTTAACCGGTTGACGATCAAGAACAGGTACCCGCTTCCCAGGATCGACGACTTATTTGATCAGCTGAGGGGAGCCTGTGTGGTTCCAAAGATTGATTTACGATCCGGCTACCACCAGCTGAAGATTAAGGAGTCAGATATCGCTAAGACCGCTTTCAGGACTCGTTACGGCCATTACGAGTTCGTCGTCATGCCATTCGGTCTCAGCAATGCGCCAGCAGTTTTCATGGACCTCATGAACCGTATCTTCCATCCCTACCTCGATCAGTTTGTTATTGTCTTTATTGACGATATTCTTATCTACTCGAAGAGCCAGAAGGAGCACGAGGAGCATCTGAGGGTGGTTCTTGAAACCCTCATACGAGAAAAGTTGTTTGCAAAATTCTCAAGATGCGAGTTCTGGCTCCAGCGAGTATCCTTTCTGGGTCATGTGATTACTCAGGCAGGTATCGAGGTGGATCCTTCTAAGGTCTCAGCTGTTCAGAACTGGTCGACACCGAGGAGTCCGTCCGAGGTTCGCAGTTTTCTCGGTCTAGCTGGATACTATCGCAGGTTCATTGAGGGCTTTTCTAAGATTGCCCTCCCTCTATCCCAGCTGACGAGGAAGTCTGTGAAGTTCGAGTGGACTGACCGATGTGAGTCGAGCTTTCAGGAGCTCAAGAAAAGATTAACTTCAGCACCGGTGTTGACTATTCCTGATCCTTCTCGGAGTTTCACCATCTTCAGCGATGCTTCGAGACAGGGCTTGGGATGTGTCCTTATGCAGGACGGCCAGGTCGTCGCGTATGCTTCGCGTCAGCTTAAGCCTCATGAGCAGAACTATCCGACGCACGACTTGGAGTTAGCAGCAGTCGTTCATGCTCTCAAGATTTGGCGACACTATCTTTACGGCGGTCACTGTGAGATTTTCACAGATCATAAGAGCCTGCAGTATATCTTTACTCAGAAGGAGCTCAACATGAGACAGCGCCGTTGGTTAGAGCTCGTCAAGGATTACGACTGCTCGATTCAGTATCATCCGGGGAAGGCGAACGTCGTTGCTGATGCCCTAAGCCTAAAGTGAGGGGTGACTTGACGTACGTCATTACTCAGCAGAGTCCATTGATTCAGGAGTTTGCCCGGATGTAGCTTCAGGCGATAGATGTACTTCCCATAGCAGTTTCGGGGAGTACCAGTGCCAGTGTCAGTGCTATGCAGCTTCAGCCGACGCTGAGAGAGAGAATCCGGCGAGAGCAGGCTTCTGACGAGTTCATCCGTGTCATGGAGGCCAAGGTTCGAGCCGGAGGCGTCGAGGATTTTCAGCTAGGTGCCGATGGTGCCCTAGAGTTCAGAGGCAGGATCGTGGTCCCGAAGGTCGAGGCGTTGCGGAAGGAGATTTTAGCAGAGGCTCATACCGCACCCTATTTGGCCCATCCCGGGAGCACGAAGATGTATCACGATCTAAAAGGGTCGTTCTGGTTGCGAGGTATGAAGAACGACGTCGCCGAGTTTGTCAGGAGATGTTTTACCTGTCAACAAGTCAAGGCCGAACATTAGAGTCTAATTGGCCTCCTGCAGCCACTGCCGATTCCGAGGTGGAAGTGGGAGGAAGTCACGATGGATTTCGTTACGGGATTGCCGAGGTCGTCTGAACATCACGACGCTATCTGGGTCGTGGTCGATAGATTGACTAAGGTCGCGCATTTCTTACCCGTTTCGATGAAGATGTCTCTGGACAAGTTGGCTGAGATATATACCGGTGGGATCATCCGACTCCATGGAGTGCTCGTCACTATTGTATCAGACAGAGATCCCAGATTCGTCAGCAGATTCTGGCACAGCTTACACGAGGCGATGGGCACGAAGCTTGAGTTCAGTTCAACCTATCATCCAGAGACAGATGGTCAGTCAGAGCGGACTGTTCAGACGCTGGAGGATATGCTTCGCGCCTTGGTTGTTGACAGGGGTGCTAAGTGGGAGTCGCTGTTGCCGTACGCCGAGTTCGCGTATAACAACAACAATCATTCTTCTATTCAGATGGCTCCGTACGAGGCACTTCATGGTCGCAAGTGTCGTTCCTCTCTCTATTGGGACGACGTCGGAGAGCGGCGAGTACTCGATCCTAAGATGATCGAGGAGACAGCAGATCAGGTCGAGTTGATCCGGTAGAGACTCAAGACAGCTCAGAGTCGACAGAAATCTTCCACCGATCATCATCGACGAGACATTCAGATCGAGGTTGGCGAGCCAGCCTTTCTCAGAGTTCGTCCGATTTGCGGAGTTGTGCGATTCGGAAAGAGAGGGAAACTGTACCCTCGGTTCATTGGTCCGTTCGAGGTTCTCGAACGAGTAGGCGAGGTCTCATATCGATTAGCCCTACCTCCCGAGTTATCAGGCATTAATAATGTATTTCACGCATCGATGTTGCGTAAGTACGTGTGCGACCCCGATCATGTTATTCCCCACTCAGATATTCAGGTTCAGCCAGACCTTTCGTACGAGGAGCGATCGCTAGCTGTATTAAACCGTTAGATTCGTCGGCTCCGGAAGCGAGATATTCCCCTCGTGCGTATTCAGTGGGATCGCCACGGAGCTACTTGGGAGGAGGAGTTCGATATTCGCGCTCGCTTCCCAGACTTCCAGTTTTGATGTACATATTTCTTTATTCTATGTACGTAGTTCATGTATTTCAGTTATGTTTTGAATTTCCGAGGACGGAAATTTTGTAAGGAGGGAGGATTGTAATATCCCGATATTTTATCGGTATAAATTATGTTTTAGTTCCGATATAATAATGTTATTGATTATTAATTTCGGAATTAATTTATTTTCAGTCGATATTACTGGAATTTATTTTCGACGTACCGTTTACGTTCGGGATAATTTTGGTAATTAAGCATTATGTTTAATTAATAATTAAACATAATAGAGTGATTAATTAATCACTAATCATGTTTATTAGCCCTAAAAACCGTATGAAGTGTTAGTATGTTCATTTATAAATGCCGTACGGTTTTAGTGGGAGGATTGAGATGAAACTTTGATCCAAAATTTCCTCAAGTTATCCAAAAATGCCGTAAGGTATTATTTGGAGTTAGTGGCATTTTTTTGTCATCAATTTTCCTCATAATTAAGGACCTTAACGTGGCATTAAGAGAATAAAAGAGAAGCTTAGTCATCTATTAGAGGTTTATTTAGCTTCCAAGTGTTAAG